ACCCCTCAAATTTTTTTTTTTTTTTTTTTTTTCTCTCCTCCCCCCCTCATTCTAAACATGACACACTGTGTTCCGGGGGCAGGTTAGTGGAGATTTCGTCCACATTTTTTTTGTCTGTGTGTTTCGTTTCTGTTACAGGTAGCAGCGGTGTACAGGGACCCCAGTGTAGGGAACCTCATTAACATCATGATCGTCAAGCTGGTCATCATCCACAATGAGCAGGTGAGTACAACCAGCCTTCAATGCTCCCTATATGCCGGGTCTTTGGTATATTGCTGACATCATCCCAGGTGTTTGTGGTTTGGAGTTTTTTTTTTGTTTTTCTTTTTTCTTTCTTACCTTCCTTCCCCAAGGAACCTGCTTGAAATGATTCTCCGCCTTCCTTGTCATTCTCACATCTCGTGAGAGGTCTCCTTGGAGAACAGGTGACACTGAGGTGAAGCCTCTGCAGGAGACGGGTTGTGAACTTTTATTGATTTTGAAAACATGCATGAATGTACAGAGAGGCGCTTAATAAGATAAGGAAGGTGGAAGAATTCTCACTAAAACTTGGAAGATGGAGCGCATCACGCCAGCTCTAAAGTCCCTACACTGGCTCCCTGGAGCTCAGAGAATAGACTATAAAATATTATAAATCGCTGAATACATTAAAGAGCTGCTGTTGTTGTACCAGCCTTCCAGACCCCTCAGGTCTTCTGGTTCTGGTTCTGCTCTGCATCCCCAGAACCAGAACCAAACATGGGGAAGCAGCATTCAGCTTCTATGCACCACAAATCTGGAACAAGGTTCCAGAAAACTGCAAAACTGCTGAGACAGTGAGTTCCTTTAAATCTAGACTAAAAAGTCAGCTGTTTGGACAGCCTTTGAAACATAGACAATTACCAATTTAACGACGGCTCTTGACTGAATGCATTGTTTCGATAGTTGATTCTGTGCTGCATGACTTTGTTTATTGTGTTTTCGTGATGTAAAGCACGTTGAAATGCCTTGCTGCTGAAATGTGCTATCCAGATCAAATCTGATTGACTCGATTTTATTGATTGAACGAAACAAAATCACCTGTGGTGAATGACACATTCGTTTAGGAGAACCTGCTTTATTCTGCAGGAACTTAAAGGGCCAATTTGTTTTTTTTGTTGTTTTTTTTAGTTGAGGCACTCCTAAGAGGTTTTAATCGTAGCCACAGTAGATCTTTATACTAGGATTTTTATTTAACATAAAGCAGACTTCTACAGTCTTAAGAAGTAAGATAGAAAACCCATTGCAGTAGATTATTAAGATTCTAGAGACGTCCACATAAAGACTTTTGTCCCTGATTTCAATCAGGGACAAAAAAGCAAGAAGGTTCTGGGTTTGAAACCCGACCTTTTTGGATGAAGTTTGCATGTTCATGCGTGGGTTCTCTCTGGGTACTCTTTCTTCCCACAGCCCAATCTAAAACATAACTCTCAGGTCAATTGAATACCCTAAATTGTTCTTCGATATGAGAGTGTGCACGGTTGTTTGTCATGTGAGTTATACTTTATTAAGTTTTACTCCACTTTACTTTTAAGAGCAGATTCTTTTCAGAGATATTTCTCATTCTCGGTGTGTGTTTCACACAGGATGATCTTTGGTGGCGGACTGCCTCCAAACAGCCACATACTGTGCAGAAGAAAATCATTTACTTCCTTGTAAAGGACCATCTAATGCAAACAGGAGGGATGTTTGAGGGCTTATAAATTAATTTGCTGACACTTGAGATTAGCTGTGGTCTCTCCAGGTCTAGCTGTTAGCTTCAGCATCGGAGGAACCAGAGAGAAGTCAAAGGCTTCAGATAATACAGGAACAACTCCCAGTCTCTTAGCGGACGCACACATAAAATAAACCGACTCCATCAAATTTAATTAACTAAATCTGGCGTCGTTGCTGCATGTGTTGACCCCTGCTCCACCAAAACAGGAAGGACCCACTGTGAGCTTCAACGCTGCCACCACTCTCCACAACTTCTGCGTCTGGCAGCAGAGCCAGAACATCCAGGACGACAGCCATCCTTCTCACCACGACACCGCGCTCCTCATCACCAGGTGCGTTTTGAGCGCCGTTCTTTACAACGAGGCCAACTTCTCCAAGCGAGCGCACGCATGAGAATATTATTTCATCTTCTCTCTCCAGGGAGGATATCTGCCGTGCAAAAGATAAATGTGACACGTTGGGTAAACGTCACCGTTTTTTGTTTTTTTTCTATGAAATTTTCCACCTCACTTCCAAACTCTCAAAACTATTCTTGGTCAGCTAATAATATTAAGAGGAGATCTTTTCTTTTTTGTGAGTTGGGTTGGGTTTAACAGCTAAGCATTTTCCCTCAAATAGTTGCAATTTTGTGAGTTTCTGTATGCGTGTACGTGTGTGTGTGTGTCTTTGTGTGTAGGACTTGCAGAGCTCGGCACCATGTGCGATCCGTTCCGCAGCTGCTCCATCAGTGAAGAAAATGGAATTAGTGCCTCCTTCACCATCGCTCATGAGCTGGGCCATGTGTAAGTTGCAGCTTAGAGCCTGAAGCAACCTCTTTCACCTCTAACCACACACGCACACACACACACACGCACACACACACACACACACACACACACACACACACACACATGCAGTGCACGCGTGCACACTCCGTCTCACCCCTTGCAGACTACCTTGACAACAAAAGCTCCCTTATAAAGAGATGCAGGGTGCAGCAGCCACAGGTGCAAAACATAATAAAGTATAAAAAAAAAAAGTCTCCTAATAACACGCGGGCCTGCAATACCTTATAATACAGATCAAGTAAGTGCTGGGAGCTTTACCTTGACAATGGCAAGGTTAGATGGATTTTAGTGTGGATATGTTTGAAAACCCCCCTGCAGTGCCTTGCAAGAATATTCACATTTTGTCACAATGCGAGACAAACTTCAGTGTGCTTTACGCACAAACGATCACACAACTGAAGTGAAAGGGGGGGAAAAAATTGTGTTTGAGACATTTCTTTTTACAAGCAAAACTCTAAACTAAGAGGCATGGGTTTGTATTCAGCCCCATTTACTTTGATGCCACCTAAATAAAATCCAGTTTCTGCTACATGCCATTACACCCTATGTTTTTACACATGTGGACTTATTTACTAATGATTTGTAAATGCACTTGGTTACATTCTCTTGTTTTTCTATTTATCTTTATTTATTGCAAAAAAATAACAACAACAAAATCTTACAAGGTATTATTTGGCTCAGTTTCTACAGCAAATATTTTAGTGCACTTGAAATAAGCTAAACTAAGTTACAAGTAAATTTTTAGCAACATGTAGGAGCTTGTTTTAAGTCAATAATTCTTTAGTATTGATGAAAAAGTAAAAGCTTTAAGTGAATTTTTAATGTGTGGTTCCACTGGCAGACTATTCCATCAAAAATGAAGGAATTATTGCTTGTAAGTTAGCTTTGCCTTACGTCACTAAAAACTAGACTTAAAATACTTGGTAAGATTTTGTGTTTTTGCATTGCAATTTTGTCGTTTTGCCGCAGTTTTTGTAACGTTTTCCCTGTTTCCTGCCGAGTAGAAGCGCTAACGATTGCTACGGACAAAGAGCGAGCACAAGGCTGCGTCTTGGGTTCTCACTACACCGGCCGTCCTCTCTTTACTTATCGCTCCCAAAGACACACGGAACAACACGTGGACGTCGCAGCGCCATCGTGGGCGAGTCGTCTGACGCGGAGTGACAGCGGCGGTGTCACGACGTGCGCGTCTGGCAGAGATGCTGTTTCCACAACAAGCTGACACACGTGTCACGTTAGAAAACGACCTGTATAAATTATCCGTCTCAAAATGGCCGAGTCAAAACACATGACCTTATCTCCAGAGTGGAGTGCTGTTTATTTCAAACATTCCTCTGAGGCCGCCGATCCCCGGTAAAAAAAAAAAAAAAAAAAATCACGTTTTGCCTCCGCTCTCTTGCGGTTCTGGTTTCAGGTGATCTTAATAAGGTGCAATCTGAGAAGCGTTATTTTCTACTTCTTCCTTAGACGAGGAGCTTAATTCATAGGTGATTTTCCGTCCCTGCGAAGCTCGCCCCTTTGCCAAGTTTTCTCTTTTCTTTTCTTTTTTTTCTCCTTTTGTCTCTTCCTGCCCACCTACTTTGCAGAGTGTAATCAGGAAAATAAAGGAGAGATTTTCTTTCTTGTCTGGCTCCGGATAGTGAAAAGGACCAGTGTCAGTGTGTGAGTCGCGGCTCGAGAATGGCAGATATTCTTCTCTACCTCCTCTGTCACGCTCACACATTCTTCCAGTGGAGCGATTGAGCCAGAGTAACAGCAGATGGGAGGGTCTCGCTCCCTCCACTTTTTTTTTTTTTTTTTTTTTTGCTCACAACTCATGTGGATCTGTTTATGCTAAAGTTCAAGCAGCTGGAGGCCCAGTTGGTTCCGACTCTGGCTGAGAGTTGATGGCGGTATGAGCCGGCGTGGGGTGGAGGGAGTCGCCCGAGAGCGCTGCAGATTAGAGTGAGACTCAGCCTAATGGACGGGATCGCTAATAGCCATCGTGGGGATTTGACTGGTGTCACTTGATAGGTATTTAAAAGGCGATGCAGGTAATCACTTTAGACACAAATCAAGATATTTCTTTTATCTACAACTTCATCTTCGTTGGACAGTTCCATATCAGTCAGACTGGATGGAACAATCACACATTTTCCCAACTGGATTCAGGGTTTGACTTTGACTGGACCATTCTAACATATGAATATGTGTTAAATCAAATCGTTCCATCATAGCTATGGTGTTTTAGACCATAGCCATGCTACGCTTGGTGCAATATGTTCATTCACGTCACAGTTATGCACATCTGTATGACCAATTTTCATAGAAAACCTAACTGAAATGCATTACATTTAGTGGTTGTGCTGTGAAAAAAGCTGCTTTTGCAGGGCTCATACCGCCATCAACAACGCACACACCATGCAGCAATCGCTCTCGCTTCACGGATCCGTCTATCGGCTGCTCGAAGTCATTTAATTAGAGAAACGTGTTTTCTTTCATGCGGAGCATCGGTCTAATAGAACCGCATTATGGGATTTGGAGTAATGGTTTTACTTTGTGAAGAGCTCTGAATTAAATTGTGACTTTGCGGACGCCGAGAACAGAATTTTTGCCCGTTATTGATATTCCCGTAAAACCGTGCGATTTACGGTCGAATTAGACTAAAAGCCTGCCATGTCACGGTTTTCAGCTCTTGTAGTCCTTTTACGAGTGAGACGAGTCACCTAAACGCCCTTAAATCACTTCATCACTTTTTATGAAAAGTAGGAAATTTGACTGGAGATTAGCAACACATAGTGCAAAAGTATTGAAACACAAAGTAGTGTATGTTTTTTTTTTTTTTAATTACGAGAATAAAGTCATCTTACAAGAACTAAAGTTGTACAACAATAAAGTTGGAATAATACGAAAACAAAGTAATAATATTACCAGAACACAGCTGTAATAATGCAAATATAAAGTTGCATTACATTAGAGTCAAAATAATGTGAGAATAAAGTTTTATGAAAAGGAAAATAATAAATGAAAATGAGGAATGCTGAGCATCTTGTGAAGTTATAATTTGGCATACGTTTTACAAATAAGGAAATATGTAACCTTTCAACACATCAACATGAAATTATTATCATCAGCAGCAGGACTTTGAAATGATCGTTCAAACGGCCGAGTCTATTTCGAGGACTGTACTTGTCACATCAGATCACAACAACTCTATCAAAGCTTCCTTGTCATTATTACTTTTTTTTTTCTCATGATTTTAAGATTTTCCTCTGGTAAAATTGCGTCTTTATTCTGCTAATTTTATGACTATATTCTCAAAATAATAAAATAAAAAACCCTAATTCTTATAGCCTGATAAGCCTGATTCTTTGTCGCATATCTCACAGAACAGATGATTGAAATAAAAGCCACTTTTTGAAGATATTGTTGTGTACTTTTTAAGAAAAAAAAAAAAAAGAACAAAAAAATTATTAAACCCTGAAATCGGATCTGATTTGCAAAATTCAGAGATTTCGTTTTCAAGCCTCATCGCCCAGCCCTGGAACAGATAAATCAAAACGTAACCATGGCTTCAAAAGGCCCGGCTGGTTATAACATGACACAGTATGATAAAAGGATTTATAAACTTTATACGTTATCCTCTTTTTGTTGATACCAGGAAATATCCATCATCTTTTATCGCTGGAGTTTACCTGCTGCTCCCGTTCAGGGCAGCTTTGATTTTGTTAGTGTTTTCCAGCAGCCGCCCCGTTTGCTGACTGTGCCGGAGGCTTAATAGTTTGCTGGGCGTTTGCCCTCAGGCCTTCGGCCCCTGCAGGGTGGGCCTCATGCCAGTCGAGCTGGATCTTGTTTTCGTGGCCGTGTGGACCGACCCTCAGCGACAGAACCAGAGTCCGTACTGTACGTTCGCTGGGCCACATCCTGTTGTAAACATGCGAGACATCATACAGCTGCGTGGATTCCTGTGTGTATAAATATAAGTGTGTCGCTCTCTCTGAGTGCTCCTGGGTTGTGGGGAAAACTGCAGGATAAGATAGGTCTCCGGCCCGCAGTGTGTCTGTGTGTTCCTGGCTCTTCCCTGCTTTTAAGCCCTTTGAGAATGTGAGGTGGTGAGCTATGGCCTACGAGGGGTGAGCTGGAGGTGGTTCTCACTAGCGTAGTGACTGTTAATCGATGCTGATCGATGCAAAGTGACAGTTTGCATTAAAAGTAGCTCCCCCTACTGGCCAGTTAAAGTTGCATTAAAAAGGCAAGAAGTAAAGAAGTTTTAAATGTTTAGGAAAGGAAAGTAAGAAGGTTTATTTGTGGGGGAAAAAAAACAACAAAACAAAACAAGAGAAAAGGTGTGTGAGCTGCATGGTAACAGTTTCTCTCCTGATAAACGGATCGCTCTAGTTTCAACGAGACATTTAAGACGTGTTTCTAATCCCTCCTTTTGCAACTCTCTGCTTCAGGTTCAACATGCCTCATGACGACAATCCCAAGTGCAGAGAGGCGGGCATGAAGCACCAGTATCACGTCATGGCTCCCACCCTCAACTACGACACCAACCCGTGGTCGTGGTCCAAGTGCAGCCGCAAATACATCACAGAGTTTCTAGAGTGGGTGCATTTGGCTTCTCTGTTTTTTGTTTTTTTTTGTTGTTGTTTTTTTTTTTGCTCTTAACAAACCTCATTTATTCTATTGGATCTTATAGATCACGTTTGTCATTCTCACGGCCCGGGGCCCAGCCTGGGTTGCTGTGGCTTTTTTTTTTTTTTTTTTTTTGTGGCCCTTTAGACAACGAATGGACACGTAGCAAGATAACATTATTCTGACAAAGCTGTTTTTGTCTGTGCACTGCCAAATTACATCAATGTGCAAACATGTTCAAAATGACTGAATTTTTAAGAAGTGCTGATCAAATGCAGACAGCAGTTTGTTCATATTTTAACAGTTTTGTTCATGGGGGTCTTATGAATACACTGTGCCACAAGAGTTTCATCCCTCTGTTATATACCAACTCTGAAACTTTAATGTGCATTTGCATTGGGCTTTCTTTTCTTTTTTTTTTTGCTCTAAGAACCCCTAGAAACCCCCCTCCCCCCCGCACTGCAGCCAAGTTCCTTCAGAAATCACCTAATTATTAAAAAAAAGCCCATCTGTGTTTGATTTAAACAGTTTAGATACAGCTGTTCAGAGGTTTGTTTGAGATCTGTGGTGAACGAGCTGCATCCCGAAGAACAACGAGCCCAGCAGACGCAGGCAGAGATAAAGTGGAGAAGTTTAAAGCGAGGCTCGGTTAAAAAACATCAAAAGCCTTGGAATCCTCACAGAGCTCTAAGGAAGCCCCTGTTTAAAGAAAGGCTTAAGACGCTCCATGTAAACTTTCCCAAAAGTCATGGGGGCGACACGGAGAAACCTGTAAGCCAAGTTGCTCCAATCAGACCAAACCAGAGTTGAGGTTGTCGGCCTGCATGGCAAAACATGGCGGTGGGAGCATCATGCTGCGGGGAGACTTTCCTTCAACACCGGCTGGGAAACGGCCCCATTCACACTTCTGTGGAAAAATTAGATATTAATTAACTAATGGCTGTTGCGTAAAATCTTAATGAAACACACGGACAATTACAGTGGCAACATGAAAAAAACAAAAACAAAAACGGGACAACGTTCAGGGGTATGAAGCATTTTTCAAAGCGCCGGTTTTCTCAGGAAGCAGAAAGAGCACCATTCTTCAGCCTTTTGGCAGCAGCTTCTCTCATGACGTAGCCCACAACACAAATAGGTCCTATGTCTCCGTCAGAACTTTAAAGACAGGTCGGCGCAATATAAACCGTGCGGAGTTGTTATTGCCTGGTGTCGAAAGAGTATTTCCTGTTTGAATCTGGAGGGATTGGGGGGCAGGAGTTCTGCCTCAGCTGACCTGAGGCATAAATCTACTCCTTCAGCCGTCTCTTCGCTCAGACGGGACGTCGGGCTCTCGCTAGCCTCCCGCTCGCCTGCAGTGTGGTCAGCGATCCCGCTAAAAAGGACTTCCCCTTTCAAATGGGAAATGCCAGTTGTTGTAAGATCCTCCCTCAACATGACCCTTTCATCCATCCTCCCCTTGCTTTTCCACTGGTAATTGCGGAGGCCCGTTCTCACAAAGAACAGCCTTATTTCTGGTTGAACATGCATCTTCAGTGCACAGACCGGACCAGTTTGGCGCTGCCTCACTTTCCAGTCAGCGATGACCTTAGCATTGAGCAGTCAGCCAAAAAAAGTGAAGGCGAATCCCTTTTCAACGTTTTTTTCTTTTTTTTTCCATTTCTGGTGCAATATAAAAGTGTTTCAGGAAAAGAAAAACACAAGCAGTGCATCAAGAAGGTATTCACAGCACTTCACTTTTTCCACATTTTGTTGTGTTAGAGCAGTGGTTCCCAAACTTTTTCCTGTGAGGGCCACATAACTTTTCCCTTCTCTGGTGGGGGGCCGTAGATTGTTGACAGGGGGGTGCGTTTCTCGATTGATTTTTACCCAGAAAGAACATGGGCAAAACCCATGAGTGAAACGGTCACTGGGACTGACTAGTATATATTCCATTGAAGGAATGTAACTTTAACAAATTAATTTATCATATGTTAACATAAAGTCTCGTTTTGAAGTATAAGCTGCTACTTACAGGCATCGCTTCGAAGAACTCGACCTGGAATGCGGCGTTCATAACAGACACGTTTTCATCTGCTCTCCCGCCAGCAAACAACCGTACTGATTAAATGACAAAAGTCAAGCCGGTCCCTAAAAGTCCAACAGATGGCAGCAATGTGACCCACAGTTTACAGGACACGCTTCCTGCTAAAGAGCCCCCTGGTGGTTGAAGAAAATGAAAAAAAAAAATCTGAATGCTCTGGAATTGTTCAGGGGGCCGGACAAAATGTAGAGGCGGGCATTTGGTCCGCCTCCACATTTATACAATTCTAAATTGTATAAATTTAGAATAAATTTATACAATTTATTCTAAATTGTATAAAGTTTTTATCTTTCCCCAAAATTCTGCACACAAATGTACACAGAAAAGCAATGTAGAAAAAGGTTTTTGAGATTTTATTTTTTGCAAATTTATTGAAATTAGAAAACAAAGAAGTCACATTTGCGTGATTACGACTGTGGCAATACAAAACGTGAAAAGCACTGTGAATAGTTTCCAGATGCACTGCATGCAGTCATATTTAATGAACCGGAATATTATCATGTATTTCAGAACCACAATTCGCTAAAGGAAACACGGTTTATAAATTACAGTATTAGTGGTGTTTTCAAACCTTTGTCTCTGTTGTTTATGACGGTTTTGCACATCCAGCAATTCTTAAGATTACAGTATTACATCAGACCAATAAGAAAAACACCAAAAAGTATATTTAACACCTGACCAAAGGATACTTTTAATCTTACATGAAGCGCACATTCTAACTATTCAAGTTTTTTTTTTTCGATATGGAAGCAAAGTGTAAAATGTAGGTGTGAACAGAGAGAAGCTGCCCCGTACGGTGGGAAAAGCCTGCTGGGTTTTTCTCAACCCAACAATAAGGGAACATGGATTCCTCCCATCATTTCTACTACAGTACCACTTCTGCTCAGCGGGCTGACCTGGTCAAGTACATCAGTGTTTTGGCAATAAAGAGCCAATTCAACTCTGGTCTTCTCTACCTATTCAACATTTTCTCCTCACAGGCCAAAGGATTCCTCTTCTCCCTCTCTTTGTCCCGCTTATGCTGTAATCACGTGTGTCGGGTTCTCACACCTGGAAGTTGGTGAAAAGTGTCTCTGTCGTATCTCAGCACTAAGTGGCCACATCAAAAATAATGAAGCTGTTTGTTAATTTTCTGGCTCTGTGTTTGTCGATTTAAGCCACGAATCTCAGACTGTCACCCGCCTAGCTACTGCATATACTGTAGCCAGTTTTCAAAGCATTTGGTATAAAATGACCAGAATAGCAAACGTTATAAGATAGCAACCGGGGAAAATGATCGGCGCCCGACAAAGTGTATCTCTCTGTTCTGGCAGACTAAATGAACAGCTTACCGTAGATTGCGATCTGGAAAATAGTTTCATAAAAGCAGCTTTTGTGCTTTTATGTCTTCTTCATTCAGTAGCAGCATCCGCAACGAAGAGTGTTATAGTACAAGTTGGTAGTGGTCAAGTATAGCACATGCACTGATCGAGGAAAAAAAAACAGATCACAATTTTTATTTTCTTTCTTGTCCAGCTGGTGTCTGGCCAGCGCTGGTCATCTACCAATTTTTATTTTTTGTTTTGACTCGTATGCACGACTTGCTGCCGTTTAGCTTCATATGGCAAGTTGACACTTGGAGTCTCTATGCAATTTCGTAAAAGAACTAAGACTGAAGTCTCAGAAACGGAGATTTCTAAAAAAAAAAAAAAAAAGTTTATATTTCCCTTGAAAAACGATCACAATGACCCCTTCTGTCTCCGATGGTCCTGGTTGTAATAATCACATGGGTCAGGACACTCAGATGATTTGCCGCTGAAAGACGCTCCGATATGGAAAGGCCTGCGTGGGTCTTCAACAAGCTGCCCTTTATTTTCCACTAACAGTACGTCCCGCCGCCGCTGTGCTCTTATTATAGAGAGCCGCTCCTGCTGCTGGCAGGCTTCGCACGCCGCAGTGTCATACCTCGCTGCTGGAAATGAAAGGGCAAAGAAACAAAGTGACTGTAACCCCGGATAATCCCGTATAATTATTGGCTTGTCACATCAGCTGGTTGCTTTGTGGAGCAGGTGTTTTAGCCGCTCAATCCAGGATGAGATTGTCAGAGCGGCGCAGACATGTTGTGTAATTACACATCTATTCACGTCTCATCGGAGAGTTTCCTCTTTTTTTTTCTGCACCCCCCCAAAAGTAAACAAAAAAAAAAAAAGAAGAAGAGGTCCTTTGTGGCTCGGCTCACTTTGCCGACATGTTTGATGGGAGCCTTTTCACGGCCGTGAAGGCTGATGGCTTTACATGCAGGCTGCCCGGCGCGCATACTCTCGGTCCAGCTGTGCTTTGGTCGTCTCTTTGTTCCTAACCTTGTGGCTCAGGGTGGAGCTGCTTTACAGTACAATACGTTATTATACAGAAATATTCACAAATTGATTTAATTTGCGTCAAGTTGCTTTGGGATTCCTAATGACTGTAGTTGGCAGGTTTCAGCTTAAAAAAAAAAAAAAAAAAAAAAAAAACCTTTAGGACCATAATTATTGTCAGCAGATAAATCCTGTTCATTCTGCTGTCAAAGGCCATTTTGACCCAGTTTTCTAAGTGATGTAATATATTAATAGAGACAATATTTACCAACAGACTCAGAGGAGTTAGTCTCTTCAGGTAACCGTCCAGACCACCCACAGACATGTTTACTTTGCCTTTATGACAGAGATGACACTGAGATGTTCAACCTTTTTAGGCTCATGAAATACTGTATTACCTTGAAATTGCCCGGTGAGTGTACATTTCGCGGTAACTATGGTGAGGCTTAGTGCTTTTCTGTTTCATTTTCTTTGATACACACTCTTTTTCGTCTGTCAGCACTGGATACGGGGAGTGCCTGCTGGATGAGCCCGTTGGCAGAACATATGAGCTTCCCACACTCCTGCCTGGCCAGATATACAATGCCAACAAACAGTGCGAGCTGATGTTTGGGCCTGGCTCCCAAATTTGCCCCTATATGGTAAGTCGACATATATATATATATATATATATATATATATATATATATATATATATATATATATATATATATATATATAAACATTTTTAAAAATCGATGAGGATGGCAGGTTTAAACTTTAGATAACTTCCATTCAGCAACATTTCTGATGGAAAATGAGACAAGCATCTCTGAAAAGATAACTAAACAATGTAAAAGGAGTGTCAACATGAAGAGGGGAAAAAAAAAATTATTTACATTTTTGTCAAAAATTCTTTATACGCATTTCATTTATCAATTGGACTTTCTCCCCCAGGGGTATGACTAAAGACGGGTTTAACAGCAATTAATTTCTTCTTTCACTCTAAAGCAATTGTGACAGCGGGAATTTACCAGGCATTACGAGAAAAAAACGGATATTTCAAAGAGACAAAGAGAACTGACGACTGACGTCACAATGAGCACCAGAGAAGATAGATAATAACAGGCTGAAACATTACAACGATTTTAAACAAACAATCACAAATTCAATAGGAGATTTTCCTCACAGGAGTGATAGAATAGGAATATTTATGGTTTCTCCTTTGTAGACTCTGCAGGCCGTTTCATTTCGAACACAGACCTCGATGCATATTCTGAGTGGGATTTAACCACGTTGAAGGTGATTGTACTTAAAATGTGTATTTGTTGGAGTTAATAAATACTAATACATAATTTTGAGTAAGCTAAAGTTTGCACTTTAAACATTTTTAAAATGAGGATGAAGTTTCTCCTCTTTGAGCTTCGTGGAGAGGCTAAACGCACACAGGAGGAAGGCAGGCTTGTGATTGAGATTAAATTTGACAAAACAATCAAGAGTTACAAAACCACAGAGGGAAAGGCAACCAAAAATTAAACAAACAGAAATCCAGAGAAACACAGGAAAATGTAAAGCAGTAGCACCACTAAGTGCAAAAAATGGACATGAACACCAAAGTCCAAAACGCACTAAAGTCAAACAGAAACCTAATACTCAAAACCACTAAATAAAGTCCTCTGTGTTTCCACAACTCTAGCAAAACTCATCAGGTGCTAAAAGCTCCAAGGTCAGATCTGTAGAGATTTTCCCCCCTTGTCAATCCAGGTTTTATTGATACAGTTAACCTTATTTTTTATTTATTTTGTATTTTTTTATTACAGAAACAGTGCAAAAGGTTGTGGTGTACGAGTGCAGAGGGGGACCACAAAGGCTGTCGCACACAACACATGCCCCTGGCCGACGGGACCGAGTGTGGACATGGAATGGTGGGTCATTCTGTATGTTTGAAGCACGTAGGTGTTAATAAACACGGCACACTGCATGGCCTGCTGCGCCACAATTCTTGCTTAGTTGAAACAGGTTGATATACAGTGATTTAAAATAAAAAGTATTGATGAATTATTTTCAACTTTTTCCTTCCCCTTCCCATCTTTCAATAAAAATCCTATTAAGATAGGTTAAATTTTCAAAAAAACAAAAAAAGTAAAAAGTTCAAGAGGTTTGAACACTTTTAAAATGGTCTCACTTCTGAAGTTTCTTTCCTTTTTAGCACACTGATTGAAAAACATCTGCATCTCAGAATAAACGAAAACGCAGGACGATCCGATGCTGGAGAGAGAAGTTTCAAATGCTTTTCTTCGTTAATCATTCTGTTACTTTGCTGAAGAGAGCCAGGTTGCGTTTCAAGCAAAATGCAGGGCTGACGCATGCCAGAATTTCCTTGAAAAGACGTTTCAAACTCCTAACTACCTCTCCAGTTCTCTGTTTCTACCAGCAAAATGGAATAATTTATCATACATTACTCCACCGCCTGCATTCTGGTAGCAGAAACCGATGTAAGGGAAGTCGGGTGATGATGAGAGTTAGAAACTTGAAGCTTTCCCATCCTGTGTTGTTAAAGGCCCCCCCTTCCCCCCCACCACCTGCCCTCCTCGCTCTGGGACCGTATGCTAATCAGAGCTGAGTTGGTGGGTCGCTCTCTGAGTGTACATGGATGGGAAAGCCAGAAGTAGAAGGCGGCGGGGGTGGGGTGAAAGAAAAAAAGAGAGAGAAATGAAAGACACCCTGATGGAGGGAGGATGGATTGTTTTAAAAGACCATACCGCCCGCTGTTCACAGTTGAGCCACCTTGTTTTGAACCTGTGACCCCTCTAAAAGGCAGGTGATTGGGTGAGCCAGCGGTCTCGCGATGGACGTAACATCAGTGATTCCGCACATGGTGGGCTGGTGTTAGCATTTGGAGCATGCATGGAGGTCAGAGGGAAAGGAAGGAAGAGGGAAGGACGCCTCTCGTTTCTTCTTAACCTCTTGGCCTTCATGAGTCTTGCGCTCTGAGCCCATGTTACGTCTCACATCCTTTCATCTCCCTCCTCGCCATGTTAGGGCCTGGATCTGCCCAGGTTACCAAGGAGGAGTTAACGGGGGATGGCTGACATCTTAATCCAACTGCAACAACCAGTCTAAACAGTAATGTGCCTGGACTGAATTCTCCGTTCTCATCTCATTCTGTATGTGGGAGAAACAGAGAGTTTAGTGGATCTGAGTGGTTTTCTTGATGAAGAAACAACCTCTCAACCTCTCCGGGATTGATGTTCTTACTGATGAGTGATCTTCAGCTGCTGATTGGTTTCAGTTAAATGGGCAAACTTGTTTTGTTAAATGGTAATGCACATCACAGAACTGGACTTTTTTTATTTTTCACATCTCGTTTTGTGTAGTTTGTTTGTCGGGTGAAATTATATTAAAAGCAAAGAGCTTACACTAATACTTAAAAAAAAAGTTTTTGTGTTATGATCAAATGAAAACTAAACTGATCATCTTTGCTGGGTAAAGGATCAATGTTATTTTATGAGCAATGTCACTTAGATTGACAAGGGGAGTTAGAAAAAGCCGGAACATACAACTGGAAAAAAATGCATTTGATTTGTGGTAATTTTGTAGAATGTTTATCAGTAAAAGAATAAGGTAATTGAGATGTATACAAGGTGAAACGTTACATTTTTTGGGTCCACCACTTTTTTCTCTAGAATGTTGATGATTTCACAGTGGAAAATATATATTACATTTATATTTTACTATAAATTACAAAGTACAATTTCTTTTAAGTCACGTTTGAGATATGTATACCATCTTTTTAACAACTGAAGTTAACATAGTTACTCGATAATGCTATGAAATGGCTCTATGTGCCTGGAAAACAAGTAGCACTGTCCCTTTAACACTTAGCAGCCTCAAGATTTAACCTCTTTGCTGCGATTCTCCAACCGTAAGTTGTGGGGATTTCCTCGTCCTTCCACAGTTGAAAGTTTGGGCTTACAAATTATTCTTTGTAGTCTTTTCATGAGATACGCAAACATCTATCTGACTTAAATGACATGTTCCCTTACGTATCTTATTTGAAGAAAGTTTCTCGGGGAGCCTGCGAGTCATGGAGTGTTAATTAATACGTTTCTAGACACTTGAAAAGGGAAAGCATAAATTAAAATGTCACAGTTTGGTTACATTTGTTTCACAGGAGTGATAATAGGGATGGCACACAGAAATTATTAAAAAGCAATCTTTTTTCTCTTATCAAATTACAGGATCTTTCTAGCGTGAAATCATGCTACTCCAAAAAAACAATTGTTTTTTTACACAAATAGTTGTTAAAGCTACTTAAGCATCTTATCTTATGGGGGCTTTGTTGTTTCCCCCCTTTTTATTTTTTCTTAACATTTTATTTTGCATAATAAGCATATTATTTATTTGGTTTTAATGGAGTTGTACGGAACCGTAAACAGAGCTACAATTATCTTCCCTGCGTTTTTATAAGAAAAAAAAAACTAATAAAAAATCAAAACCTATTTGATCTAAAAGTGAAAAAGGAAACAACTTTGAAACAGGAAATGCTTAAAAAGTTTAAAATCTTTCACATCCATTTTTTTTCTTCTTCTACATATTTATCTTCTCTTTGTGCGCGCGTCAGCTGTGGCACCACCTTTGTTTGCGGCGCTGAGGCCCCGGTTTCATCTTCATGCAGGGTGGTGTTTGAAGTAGCGCGGGTTGAAAGAGACCCTACGCCAGCACTCACCTGTCCATACATGCGCTCTTTAATGTGGTGTTATTGTGTGACGGGCTTGTGTGTCTGCGAGTGCGATTGTGCTCGTCCTGAGGCCTGCACGCTCTGATAATCCAACACATTCAAACGGGTCTTCCTGGTTCTTTTGTGCCACTTTGTTCTATACATCTGTCTGGGCTTTTTTTTTTTTTTTTTTTTTGCATTACTCTGCTGGTATTTTTTGTCCTTCTTGACCTAGAAAAAGTATTAAGAATTGTTTACATTTTGACCAGTTACAACCACAAATTTCGGTGTGTTTTATTGATGATCTATTTGATAGACAGAGACCAAAAGTAGTGCATAGTTGTGAAGTGGAAGGAAAATACAACCATGCGGCTTAAAGCCCGATGCGGCTTTTCTGTGGATTTTTCTTCAACCACCAGGGGGCTCTTTTGCAGGAAGTGAATCTTTGGAAGTCAGAATTGGAAATCAAAGAAGAAAGTGCTAATTTTCATTTGGAACAAGAACATGCTAGCAGCAGCCATGACGGAGAAATTTCTTCAAACTCATATGATGCCGCTTTTAAATTGAAGGCTGAAGATCTGGCAGTACAGATTATCGGTGTCAGATTAAGGGGCTTTAATCTGACTGAGGTTTGTTAGAGAACACTGTTCGACAAACAGGAACATGAACGTGAACGTACACACCAGACAGGTCAGGGATGAAGTTAAGAAGACGTTTGAAGCGCAGGTAGGCCATAAAGCGATGCTTTGTGCATCTCATTGAGCACTTCTTCAGTTCTTCATCTGAAACTAGAGAGAGTGTGGATCATTTCAAACTTTCCGAGCGTGGGCCTCCGTCTAAACGTCATCAATTAAAGAAGCAGCAAAGATGGCCTTAGTGTCGCTGGAACCTCTAGGACGGCAATTAGTCATTCGCTCCTTAAATGAGACCATAATAAAGGAGTTGCAGGCAAATGGGCATTGATGAAGCAAATCTATAAGAAGTTGTGCTTGCATTTTACCAAAGGATAATGCAGTAGACACTTCATACCTTTTTTCCCCCCTAAAATAATAATAATAATAATAAAAAAAAGACATTTTAATTTTTGAGACTTTACATATATGGGTCAGTTTGTTGGCTTCTAGGTGTGATATGTGGAGGATTACAACTTTGGGAACTACAATAACACCGGATATTGTCTCTCAACTCCCAGATCCTCGTCCAGAATCATCTTTGCGGCCCATACTAGAACAATACAGTGGCGTCATTCAAAGCGATTACACACCCCGTTATAAAAAGCAACACGTCTGAATGGACTTCACCTCCTGAGCCGTGGTCGCCTGGGGAGAGTGGTTTTGTCCCGACGGGTTATGAAACGAATTTGTGACCGCATTGGGTAATTGAGGTCAAAGCCCAAATAGAAGGACATAGGCACGTCCTCTAAATGACAGAGGGCTGAAAAAGAAAAAAAAAGAGTTTGTTTGTACACTGCTTAGTTACAAAGGGGCATCAGGCACAGTCAGAGTTCAGTTGTAGTTTTCTCCCTCTTTCCTCCTCTTTCATCTCCGACGGTCTTTTCTTCTCCTTCCTCCAGAACCTGCTCCCTTTCTGTTGCTTTCACAGGGCGCTGGAGTGTGAAATGCAGTCACATGACCTCTCGGCAGCGTGTCTGTGATCTTACTTAGTGGGCCACGCTCTAATGAGAGCATCCCATCACTTGTTGTCTATAAATACAGACACCACCCCACCACCACCTCACCCCCGTCCTTTCTCATTCATCTATTAACCCACTAGGCCTTCACTTTTTTACATGCTCTTGCTGCTGAGAGTGATTCTTTGTTTTTGTGTACAAATACATGAATGGATTCTGCTGTAATATATATATATATATATATATATATTTTTTTTTTTACATTTCATTTAACAACAGTTTAAGAGCACTTAGCAAACACACCTAAACCCTTCGAACCTTTCTACATTTTGCCATGCTGCTATATAGTATTAGATTAATTATGACCGAATTATATAGTTATTAATTAATGAGTTAATCTAAAGTTGACTGCTCCTATTGAGTGACTAACAGTTAATTGATAAAGTGCTGTTTTTGTGGAAGCCTGCAGACTGTCTTTCCATAACATGAAGGTCAACATTTTTGATATGCTGAATTTAAAAAAAAGAAGCTTTTTTTTTTTTTTTTTTGTCAACTGTGTTAAATACCAACTGGAT